GGGTCCTACTAGATGACTTTTGGTTTCTGAAGTCTGCTCTCAAGGGGTTGTTTTATTTGGATTTAATGACTCATGTAGGCTTGTGGATCAGCTTTATTTTCTTTAATGAACCAAAGGATGCTGTTTGATGTTGTAAAATGAAAGAGGATGCTTCAAGAATCCTTCTACATTCTAGAAATCAAAGGATTGACTGACTCACCTAAAGAGGAAAAGGTAAGGTAAGTGCCATGACCTTGTTGAAAGATAACTGTTCTGTGTTTCCTCCTGCAATGGCTATAATATGACCGTACTGATACCTGAGGCCCACATAATGTGGTTCAGGGATTGCTGAATCACATTGTTTAGCAGTTCGTCTTCAGACAATCACTTTTTTTTTAATCCCCACCTACATGTTTGCTTTTCCCAAACACTGGAAAAAAAATGGTCTTGACTTCAAAATGTTGAGTTGAGGTTGAGGCCAAAGGGCATGATGCTACTTCCTTCTCCCCTATGGACACTCTACAAAGGATATCTCTGTTGCTCTTCCTTGTTTTCTTGCATAAACACATCTGCTCACTGCCACCACTCTTCTGCTGGCCTCTCCGTGCACTGTGTTCATTTGTATCTGATTTAATCTCTTCATGTACACAGGTGATGAAACAGTCCGTTTTTAATAAGTAGGCTTCGATTTACATATAATAGAGCATGAAAGATGTAAGTTAAGAGACTTTGATGAACTTGTTCAATACAAGTCATGAAGCTTCCTCTACATAAATAAAAATTTATAAATTAGCAGGAGGTTGTGGCATTCAAAAAGACAGTTACTCAATGGAAACCTGCATAGCCATCTGGAGGTACTGGAATCTAAGTGCAAGATGAAAGAATTTGCAGAAAATAAAATGGAATGCAAGGCTTTGTATTCAGAGGGGAAAATGAATGTCGGTATTCAGCGACAAGAAAAGGAAGAGAAAGTTTTTGGTATTTGCTCTGATCTTCTTGAACTTCTTTGACTTACATGTCATATAGTTTTAGTAACTTCTGTTTCAGAAGATGTAATTCTCATTACACACAGTAATCAGCATCAGTTCTAGGATGGGTGCAGATATGAAATCCATATTGGATCTTCTGTGCAAAGAGGAAAGCTCTAGTATCTGCAAATTATTTTGAGAGAAATGTTCCTTAATGAGAACAGTATCTAAATTTTTGCTTCTTGTAGATGACACTACCTTTTCTACTATAGGTGTGGAAACTTTATACCTTCAATAAGAAGCTGCATTATTAAAATGAAAAACCACAAAAGCAACACAGGATAAACAAATAGTTTTTATTCAAGTGTCTTGAAGACATATGCTGCAGTTTGCCGAGGAAGAAATATTAGCCTATGTTGGCAAGGGACTAACATGCTACTCTTTCAAACGATGCTCACAAACTGGGAACTACTTAATAAAAACTCTGGACAGAATTTGCTTGTTCTTGAGTTTCTACCCAAGGCCTAGCTGCTAGAATTGCATGAAAATTTCAGAAGTTTAAAAGATTCCTAGCCTGTACTTATTTTTTAAGTTGACCCCGGGAAGTGTGGATTGCTTATACCTGATAAAGTTATGTCTATACAAAAAAGACAAAAGCATTCACAAATAGAACCACAGCAACTACCAGGGCAGAAAGATTACTGATCCCACCTCTGCCAGCACACTAGTTTAACTTCCTGCTTTAGGTTTAAGTCTATGGGTGGCAGGAGAGGGGCAGGAAGTCGGATAAATCTTGCATTTTTTTTGCTCATAACAACTGCTTCCTCTGCAAAAGATGTATGCCTCCTTGATCTGCCTTTTTCTTCTGAGTTTGTAACCTGGTTTTGAAGGCAGGAGAATGATGACATTTGCAGCTTCATAACGAAGTTTCACACATAATGTGTCACAAATACATAAATGAAGTTTTATCAGTAGTTTTATCAGTGGTAGTTTCATGTCCAATAATGACAGTGCAAGTCTTCGGACTGTTAACATAGATTGGATATGAGTGAAGCACTGCATGTTTGCAATGCTGCCTTTGGTCTCCTGAAGACTGAGAGAAACATTCATGTGCTGGTTACATGCAGTGTGCAACCTGAAGACTTTCTTTAATTCCATATGGACTTCTGTGGACATTGTTATTTTAATTTTTTTTAAGGAAGTGGAGCTCCTGGAGAATAAGGTCCAGTCATTTTTCAAGTACTAGATTGCCATCAAGGTGTGATCCAGTTTGCTTTCAGTCATAGTTTTAGGAAAGTCAAATGCCTTTCACAAAGATAGACCAGTATATAAAAAAAAATAAATGAGGTGGTGCTATGTCATTTAGCTAGGAGAACATTAAGGCTCATGGTACGCATATCTAAATAATCTGAGATGCGAATCTAATTGCAGGTAGGTACCTGGATAAACATAATCTCACTAAAATCATTGTTACAAAAACCTCACCACAACAGAAATATATGCGCTCTTTGGGTTACAGAATATGTTAGGTATTTGACTAAGCAAAAATGTGATGTGGAACACCACTGTCTTTTAAGTACGCTGATTGGCAGTTTTGTGTGTGTGTGTGTGTGTGTGTGATTTTCATCATCAGTGACAATTTCTTCTCCCAGGAGATGCTGTCAGAAAATGTCATAAGAGAAAAAAAAGTCACCTACCAACCAAAGCTTTATGAGGAAAAGATCCTTACTGACCAGCAGAGACAGAGTGAGGCAGGAGGGTTAGGTAAAGGCATGAGACACAGTGAGGAGGCTGCTTTTCTGCTGCTCTGGGGCTGATCTCAGCCCTGGTACGGTAGGTGCTCTGGGCACAAAGTTTGCCTTAGAAGAAGTTGCGAGTTTCCACTGAAATGGCTTGCATAGAACTTTGTTTGCAAAAGAGGACTTTGGGCTACTTCTTCCTGACTTTCAAATATAGATTTGAAAATGAGAACATCTTGAATCATGATAGGGATCTACATTTTAATTTTATAACAGCAAAAAGTAAACTTGAGAGGAAAAACCATTATCTTTTATCTTTTCCTACTCCTAACAAAGAACAGATTAGAAGATCTTTCTTTTATTATCTGGTTAAGCAGAGAGAAGCATCTCTTTTTTAAGGTTTTTGAGAAATTAAGAAATTCAGAGTTAAGATTACTTGCCCCCTCTGGGTACTGTAAGGAAGTTAGGGAACAGTGAGAAACAGACTTGTTTATTGGGGAAACCAAAACAACTTGGAAAGAATTAGTACACCTGAATTAACAAAACACTCAACACTGTGCTTTATTCAGGCAAGGAATACAATGTTTAAAAACAGGCTAGTGGATTGTGGTAGAAAATTAGAGAACTATACTTCTGTCACTTCTGCTGTACAGGCTTGCACATGGTTCATTTTACCTCCTTCCTGAGCTTGCATCACAGTATGAGTGGGTGTAATAGCATGGAGAGGATGTGAATAGGATTGATCTGGCATACTATGCATGCGAGGCACACACAGCTGCTGCTGTTTTATTTCACCACTACACCAACACAAACTGCCCTTATATAGACACTTCTGGCTAAGGTTTTTTACAGTCAGGGATACAATATACTTTACTATAATTGCATACATTTCATAACCTTCAGATTTCATAACCCGTTAAGAATGCCATTGCAGCATGTTAGTTTTATTCCTTTATGGCTTCCCTTAGTTCTGCGGTGGGAAGGTGGAAAGGGAAGCTGTATGTTTTTGATTTTTGCAGTCATGTTTGAGCATTTGTCAGTCTCCCATTGCTATTTGTCCTGTTCGGTCTCTGCCTCCACGCCCTCCTCCCCAAATACATAGCAAACGCCGAGAGACATATCCTGAACTCCTGTACTGCACCTTGTCCACCGATTCCGTACCTGGAACCGGCAAAGCGGTGCAGCGTAACGGGGGTAGCCCCACGTCGCTATGGGCTACGCATCCTCCCGGCCAGCCCGGGCGGCCGAACCCCGGCAAGCACCGCAGCGGTGCCCCGAGGTCGGGATGCCATTTCTCCCTTCGTGAACTTATCCCCAACTGGA